AGCTGATCGCCTGTGGCTCACACCTGTAATCCTAGCTACTCAGGAGGCTGAGATCTGAGGATCACGATTCAAAGCCAGCCCGAGCAGGAAAGTCCATGAAACTCTTATCTCCAGTAAACCAGTCAGGAAACTGGAAGTGGTGCTGTGGCTCAAGCAGTAGATTGCTCGCCTTGAACTGAGGGACAGCGCCCAGGCTCAGAGTTCAAGCCCCACGACCAACAAATAAAAGAGAAAAAAAAGAAAGAAAGAAACGCCTGGGTTGACTCTTGTTACTATGTCCAAATTAACGGGAAGAATACGTAATGCAAGGCTTCAGTCACTCAACACAGGAGGCAGAACCATGAAGAGCCCAGGAATCTCAGGAACAGATGGGAGTGAATGAACAGAATAAGAATCCCCAGGGCAGAAATGCTAACTTGGCTTTTTCACTCAAGAATGGCACTCTGGGGGCTGGGAAGGTGGCTCAGAGGTCTACCACTTGAGCCTACTTTCAGCTTTTTGGTAGCTACTTGGAGATAAGAGTCTCATAGGCGGGCTGGGAAGGTAGCTCAGTGGTAGAGCGCTTGCCTTGCATGCATAAGGTCCTGGGTTCGATTCCTCAGCACGACATAAACAAAAAAGAAAAAAGCCAGAAGTGGCGCTGTGGCTCGAGTGGTAGAGCGCTCCCGCTCGAGTGGTAGAGCGCTCGCCTTGAGCTGAAGAACTGAGGGACAACGCCCAGGTCCAGAGTTCAGGCCCCACGACCAGACTAAAAAAAAAAAAAAGTCTCACAGGCCAGCTTTGAATGTGATCCTCAGATCTCAGCCTCCTGAATAGCAAAGATTATAGGTGTGAACCAACCACAGCACCTTGCTAGTTCAGGTTTTGAGACCAGGTCTTACTATGTTGCCCAAGCTGGCCCAAATTCTTGGGCTCAAGTGATCCTCCTGCATGTTGAAATGGCAGCGCCTCCATGCCCGGCCTGCCCAAGGGGAATTTCAATCTTTTTTTCCTGTCCTGGGGCTTGGACTCAGGGCCTGGGCTCTGTCCCTGAGCTTCTCTGTGCTCAAGGCTAGTGCTCTACCACTTGAGCCACAGCACCACTTCCAGCTTTTTCTGTTGATGTGGTGCTGAGGAATCAAACCCAAGGTTTCATGCATGCTAGGCAAGCACTCTACCACTGAGCCACATTCCCAGCCCAGGAATTTGAATCTTGAGTGTATTTCTTTTTTTCTTTTTTTTTGGGGGGGGGGTTCAGTTGTGGAGTCTGAACTCTGGGCTTGGGCGCTGTCCCTCAACTCTTCAGCTCAAGGCTAGCACTCTACCACTTGAGTCACAGCACCACTTCCAGGTTTTTTCTTTTTTGCTTATGTGGTGCTGAGGAATTGAACCCAGGGCCTCAGGCATGCAAGGCAAGCGCTCTACCACTGAGCCACCTTCCCAGCCCCTCTTGAGTGTATTTCTTTCCAGCTGTCTGACTCCGTGCTTTACACACATCTGACCAAGAAGAGTCCTTCTTTTTTCTGTTCTTTTTTTGTTGGTCATGGGGCCTGAACTCTGGACCGGGAGCTGTCCCTCAGCTCTTCAGCTCAAGGTGAGCACTCTACCACTTGAGCCACAGCACCACTTCCAGCTTTTTCTGTTTATGTGGTGCTGAGGAATCGAACCCAGGGCCTCATGCATGCAAGGCAAGCACTCTACCACTGAGCCACTTTCCCAGCCTGAGTCTTTCTTTTTTCTTTCTTTTTTTTTTCTGATCCTGGGGCTTGAACTCAGAGCCTAGGCTCTGTCCCTGACCCACTCTGTGCTCAAGGCTTATGCTCTTCCACTTGAGCCACAGCACCGCTTCCAGCTTTTTTTGAGTAGTTTATTGGTGATAAGAGTTTCACAGCTGGGCTGGGAAGGTGGCTCAGCGGTAGAGTGCATGCTTTGCAAGCATGAGGCCCTGGGTTTGATTCCTCAGCACCACATAAGCAAAAAGAAAAAAGCTGGAAGTGGTGCTGTGGCTCCAGTGGTAGAGCGCTAGCCTTGAGCTAAACAGCTGAGGGACAGTGCCCAGGCCCAGAGTTCAGGCCCCATGACCGGCAAAAAAAAAAAGTTTCACAGCCTTTCCTGCTTGGGGTGGCTTCGAACCTCAATCCTTAGATCTTAGCCTCCTGAGTTGCTAGGATTACAGATGTGAGCCACCAGCACCTGGCTCACAGCTAGATTTTTGCATGTATTATCATGCCAAATCAAGATTTAGGACGATTCCAGCAACTCAGGAGGCACTCCCAGGTTCCTCTCCCAGCTGTTACAGCCATGATGTCTGCCTGTTCCCTGCAACCACGCGGGCCTGGCTGCATTTCTTGCTCCATACAGTGTCTGTGAAGCTAATTCACATGAGGGTATGACCTCAGTTTAGTTTAGTTTTTAGTGGAAAAGCCCAACACAAAACCTTCCTTAGAAATTAGGAGAGGTGGTTTAAAGCTGGGGAAGTTTTGGTACAGAAAGTACAGAACTTCTTGCTTATGTTTGGAAGTACATGGAACTCTTTGCTACCCTCTGTGTTTGCCGTGGAAACACTCCAGTCTCTCTTGTGGGAAGCTGGTTGTGACGGGCCGGGGACAGAAGCGAGTCCTCCTCGCAGCTGGAGCCATGAGGCTCCTTTGCCAGCTTCCAGTCTTAATTTAGAAGATTGACCCTAACTGGCGTCTCAGTGGCTCAACTACCAAGGACCTGGGGGCCTGGGGAAGCAGGTTGAAGCAGAGCAGGTAGAGCACAGATCTGTAGTGTCCGCATCTCTGCAGCCCCTTGGACCGGTTCCCCATTTCCCAGGACAGTGTGGGGGGGGAGGGGGTGGCTGTATGTCCCCAGCTCCCCGTGGAGGGGAGGGGTGGCTGTATGTCCCCAGCTCCCCAGGGATCCGGCACTTCTATGGCTCCCTGCACAGTGGGTCTTATTCAATCTTGATCTTAAGAAATCAGAGCCACCTTAGGAAGACAAGGGAAACTAAGGCCCCAGGAGCTTGTGAAGTTTATACAACGTATCCAAGGTCATAAAACTAGGACATGTTGAGTGTTGAAACCGGGTTGGCCTGCACCCAAGCTGTGCTCCAACAAGCCTATCTGGGGCCTCGCAGTGAGCAGTTCACTACCTCCTGGCACGAGGGCCAGAAGAAACAGGGGCAGCAGCAAGGACCCGGACCTTCAGGGAAACAGCTCTGTTTGCACACCTGAGCACACTCAGCCAGCTGTGCCCTTCCCAGCCTCCAGGCACTGGTCCATCTGCTGACACAAAACCTTCTTATATCCCAGGACCAATGACTGCTCCTACTTGCATGTGGCTTCGAGTAGTGCAAGGGTAAAGTTCAGGGTGACGGCTGGGAAGATGGCTCAGTGGTAGAGTGCTTGCCTAGCATGCATGAAGCCCTGAGTTTGATTCCTCAGCACCACATAAAAGGAAAAGGCCAGAGGTGGCGCTGTGGCTCAAGTGGTAGAGCGCTCGCCTTGAACAAAAGCAGCTCAGGGACAGTGCCCAGGCCCTAAGTTCAAGCACAAAGAAAAAATGAGTCAAGAGAGTCTTTTCTTTTTGCTTATGTGGTGCTGAGGAATCGAACCCAGGGCCTCAGGCATGCAAGGCAAGCGCTCTACCACTGAGCCACCTTCCCAGCCCAACTGAGTCTTTTTGTCTCTGAAATAGGTCCTAATAATGTGACCCTGACAGGTAGCCTAGACCTTCTAATTCTCCTTCCTCAGCCTCTGAGAGCTGGGATTACAGGTCTGTGCCACCATGTCTGGCTGAGCTGAGTCCTCCCTCATGTTAAGTGGGGTAAGAACAGGGCGAAGATGAAGGACCCCTGAGAGCATGGGCAGTACTGCGACATCCCTGAGAACAAGGGCAGAAGTTGTGCACCAGAGCGAGGACACACCCACGGTGGCCTGTCCTGGGACCTGCATCTGCCATGGCATCTTCTAAGGACAATGGAAAGAAGGTAGAGGGATGGAAGACCTCATCTGAGCCTCTCACTGCCTGGCACTGGGTTTAGGTGGGATCAAAGTCAGGGTTCAGACTCAGGCAAGACACAAGAAGTGCCTCAGTCACCAATGCTTTGTCCCAGGAGCTGCCCTGCCACTCCCCCACTTCCCCCACCCTGGCCCAGGGCACAAGGCAGCCAGATGCACACACCACTCACACGCGCGCCACCTCAAGCACGGCTGCTTCTGTGTAATGTGAAGACATTTGAATAATCATTTGTGTTGATATATGTACTATTCATATATATGCATATTAAGTTGCTCTTCCAAGTTCTTGAAATTATCTTTGGTTGACAGGTCAGAAGACTGAGCCAAAACATTCAGATAATTTGCTCAGCCAAAAACTTGGACTGTTAGAGTCCGCACTGGATTTTCCTTCCTTCCTTCCTTCCTTCCTTCCTTTCCTTCCTTCCTTCCTTTCTTCCTTTCTTCCTTCCTCTCCTTTTATTTTATATTTTTTTGCCAGTCTTGGGGCCTGAACTTAGGGTCTGGGCACTGTCCCTGGGCTTCTTTTGCTCAAGGCTAGCACTCTACCACTTGAGCCACAGTGCCATTTCCAGCTTTTTCTGTGTATGTGGTACTGAGGAATCAAACCCAGGGCTTCATGCATGCTAGGCAAGCGCTCTACCACTGAGCCACATTCCCAGCCCCTTTCTTTCTTTTTCTCTCTTTCTCTCCTCTCTTTCTTTCTTTCCTTCCTTCCTTCTTTCTTTTCTTTATTTAGTTATTTATTGCAGTGCTTAGGATTATACCCAGGCCCTCATACACAGCTACGCAAGTGCTCTGCCTCTGAGCTACCCCCTCAACCCAGAGTTTACACTAACAATCTACTATTACTTGTGTGCACATAAGCAAGCAAACTCACACACACACACACACACACACACACACACACAGGGCTCCAGGTGCCTGCCCAGCCACCTTATCAGGCCCTCCCCTCCCCTAGTAGATAGGCCACATCTGTGCCTCCGCTCACAGCACGCCTGTGGGGTGAGAGTACAATGTAAGCCACGTGGACAAAGCCCTTTTTAAGGTGCCGCAACATTCAACTAGCTGTCTTCTGCCATCTGACCTGCTAGATCTACCATCACCAGGGACCAAGGTGGGCCAAGGAAGTCCCCAGAGGGAGGGATCTTCAATGTGGGGTACTGGGTCCTTGACTTGACTTTATAATGTCACAGACAAAAATTCCAGGACCGATCAAGGAAGAGAGCACGGAAGCGCATTAGGACGGGGAGGGGGCAGGCTCACCTGAGGAGGGCCCCTGAGGCGCGGACGTTGGGATACTGACGCTGGAAAGCAGGGAGGGAGACTGGGCTGTTTTAAGATTTGCTTACTCCAGGATATAGTCATTGTTTGGGGCAGGGTAAAGGAAAGGAGCTGTGTTCTATGGCAGGCTACAGTTGAGTGAGAGCAAAGACCAGGGTGATGTGCGCACAGCACTCTATTAACTAATATCGAAGTAATTGTACATTAATTTCTGCTACAGGAGGAAGGCAATGAAACTTAAAAGGATAGCAAATGTGTCTTGCTCTTAAGATTAGGCACTAGTGAATGTTTGTGCTGAATAGTGAATATATGTTGCTCCAATAACGTTTAGCTCGCAGGACTACAGTACTTTATTCTTCCAAACACTTTGTCCTAACTCACCTCAGCACCATTTGCCATGGAGAAGATCCTCGTCCTCCTGCTGATCACCCTCGCGGTGGCCTGTGCAGCTCCTCCAGACCCCCGCGGAATCATCATCAACCTGGTGAGGGGATCTGCAGGGGGGATGGCTAAGGCCCCAGAGGGGGGTTTCTAAGTTTGATGAGAAAGGACTTTTGCAGGGAGATGGTTTTCAACTTTCAAAGGTGTGTAGGAAGATAGGCATGGTGGCATACACTTGTAAGGCCAAGACAGGAAGAATAAGAGTTCAAGAGCAGCCTGGGTTACATAGCAAGACTCTGTCTCCAAAAGAAGAAGAAAGCTGGGCATTGGTGGCTCGTGCCACCAGCTACTCAGGAGGCTGAGATATGAGGATCACGGTTCAAAGCCAGCCCAGGCAGGAAAGTCTGTGAGACTCTTATCTCCAGTAAACCACTAGAAACAAACCGGAAGTGGCACTGTGGCTCAAGTGATAGAGCACTAGCCTTGAGCTGAAGAGCTCAGGAACAGTGCCCAGGCTCAGAGTTCAAGCCCCATGACCAACAAAA